GAGAGAGAGAGAGAGAGAGAGAGAGAGAGAGAGAGAGAGAGAGAGAGAGAGAGAGAGAGAGAGGCAATTTGTAAAAGGCAGTATAGGTTGAAGGCAATTCCCACATTTCTATTCACTGAATGGAAATCAATGTGACGCGTAATAGTCTTGGAGACGTCGCTACCGTACCCGAATACAGTGTATGGAGACGTCGCTACCGTACGGACATTATGGCTGTATTTGGGGCAACTTCGAGTCTAGGTACAGCGATAATGACCATACACTGTATTCGGGTGATGACGGTAGGAAAGGTGGAAGACAGAAAAAAGGAGACAAAATTGACAAATACAAGGCTAAATAATCACTCAAGTACCGGGCGAAAAAAAAGCATAGCGAAAGAAAAGCACAAGGGTAATGACAGACTGTTTCTTTGGACTTGCACCTACTCCTCAGGAGGCTGAACCCTTGACAATCTGCAGAGACCCCGTATTGATGCTCAAGTTTTAACCCCCATTATAAGCAGACAAACAGCAGCGCAAGAAGCAAGGCAAGGGTGAGGCAACAAGGCATTGAACGATAAGCACCAGCGAGACACATAGGCTGAAGGGCAGGAGGAGGCGGACGGGCAGAGTAACAAACAAGGAAGGGGGGGGGGGAGGGGGGGGTTGCACTATGAGCATCTGGCCACAGAAGGCAGCAATGGAGCAAGGCAACAAGGCAACAAGGCAGCCAAACGGCAAGGCAAGAAGTGTGATCCGATGACGATAAACTGACCAATCGACAAGGCAGGAAGGCAGTGCGGCAACGGTGCACTATGAGCATCAAGGGGGGGGAGGGGGGGGGGGGTGCACTATGAGCATCTGGCCACAGAAGGCAGCAATGGAGCAAGGCAAGAAGTGTGATCCGTTGATGATAAACCGACCAGTCGACAAGGCAAGAAGGCAGTGCGGCAACGGTGCAGCAAGGCAAAAGAGAGTGAGAGAAAAAGCAGCGACCCCAAAGGCAGCAACACAAAAAGGAGTAAGGTAAAAGGAAGGGAGAGGACATGGAAGATCGTCTTCATGCAAATAGAACTCACGGTCATTATAGCTGTATTTGGGGAAACTTTCAGTCCAGATTAAGCTATTATGACTGGGGGTTCTATTCGGGTGAAGACGGTAGGCTAGTGGATGGGCAACAAGCTTGGGAGGCAGACAAAACCGTCCACACAGCCAACACGGACAAAACGATCCTCCCATCAAATAGTCACATTACAAGGAGGACACTGCACAGACTGTTGCGTCACACCCACCCTTGGAGCCAAGACGTCACTCCTACGAACGTCCGTCATCACGCAAGGAACATCCAGACACAGCTGCCCCGCCAAGACGTCACTCCGACGAACGTCCGTCATCATGCAAGGAACATCCAGACACAGCTGCCCCTAACAAAGCAGCCCCCGTAATTGCGTTGCAGGTACTCCAGACCATCAAGCGCCAATTATTTGGCGTGACTCAGAGATGCCCACTTAGACACAAGAAAAATAAGAACAAAATCGAAGGAACTCCCGATCACCAACCATACTATTTGGCACAACTTGAAGGTGCTAACTTTGACTCAGAAGAAAAGTGAGAAGAAAGAAAAGTAAAGAAAAGTAAAGACGTATGATTGTGTGTGTGTGTGTCTGGTTGAGCACGATACAATACTGCTGCAACAGTGCCGCGGCATGTCGCGTCAAAAAGCATGGGCATAACAACACTTGAAAATGAGCCCGAAACCTGGTATTCCCATGTCTGACCCGTACACACAAAGAGTCTTGCAAAGGCCAGAAAAACAACAGACACGAAACCGAAAGCCTCAACCAAGGTGGCAGCGAGGCAAAAGTAGAAAGGCAAAGGCAGCAATGTGCGAAGGGCAGTTAAAGTGAAGGGCTGAAACCAACACGGTGTCGGACAAGCAGCGGGCGGGAAGGGACAAAGGCTGGAGGGTGTGGGGGAGGTGGGCGGCAGGCTGCCGGAGACGAACAAAACAAAGCAGCAAGGCAGGAAAGCAGCGAAGCAAAATACTTAAGGTGGAGGGTATCGGGGAGCCGGGTGGGCGGGCGGGCAGACAAACAACACGAAGTAGCAAGGCATGAAAGACAGCAAATCAAAAGACATTGGCTGGAGGGTATGGGGGAGGTGGGCAGGCACAGACAAACCGCGCAAAGCCAAAAGTAGCTGGAGGGAATGGGGGACATCCGCTAAGATTGGAATGATACAGAGTATATTAGCATGGCCCCTGCCCAAGGATGTGTGTGTGTGTGTGTGTGTGTGTGTGTGTGTGCGCACACGCGCGTTTGTGACTGATACGTTATGCAGACCACAAAACCCCACAGCACGCTGCGGTATGAGTATTCTGGGGATAAGCAGTTACAGCTTGCTAGTTATTTCGCTATGTACTCCACAGCAGAACCCACTACATTGGCTCACGTTCTCGACGGTGCTCCAGCTGCAGGCATGACCACACACTCCCTTACGCTTTATTACGTTGACTATGTAGGAGATATTTCTATTGGACAATAACATAGGCTGGTAGGACTTCTCTTATGTATATATATTGTGACGATATATATATATATATATATATATA